TAGTACCTTTTAAAGGTTGCACAAGCAGAATTTAAAAGGGAAGGCTAAGACAGACTGCACTGATCCCCCGCCCCTAAATTGGCGTACGAATATGCACCGGGCAATTATAAATCTTGCGCAAGAGCACGTAGCTGGAGGACGCCAGGCTGCACGGACTATCGCGCAGCACAGCACAGCTTGAGCTCGGGGTTCGCTGCCTCGTTTGGGTTTTCTCTAGCTCCTAGAAGCAATGAAGAAAGCCTACCGGCACATTTCGAGTATCTCTGCCTCTAGCTCCCTTACCTCGAGCTCCCTCCAAAAACGCCATATCCAGAAACCACAAAAAAAAAAAAAAAATACGACGTGAGAATTTGCGGTACTGATTTTGCCTAGTGATGTGAGGAACACATGAGCTTTGCGCGAAGGTATTGCAGTCGTCACCGTAACGCCCCACGACTTTTCAAAGGTACAGGAACTCGAGCTCGCACGCACGATGAGTACCGATCAAAGCTATCCGCGCGCTCGCACTTAAATTCCAAGAGAAAGTTATCCCGGAGTAAAGAAAGCCATCGCTCGTTAACAGTGGTGAGGACAAGAGGTCTTCCTTGTTATTTTTCTCTCGACTAGCACCAGAAAACAAGTCTGGTCTGGCTCGCGTCGTTCTGAACGTTCTGGGCGCACGTCTCGGCGGCCGAAGCTGCTACGCGGGGAAGTGGACACATCAGCGCTTACCTGCTCACCCAACGGCACGTTTATTTCGTTTTTTATAGGTGCCAGCGGATGGGGCTGTTCTATCGACTATCACAAATAATTACCTTGCTTAAGCTTACATTCTACTTTGAGATGCATGTCATCAACCGTTCAAAAACATCCTGGTCAACATACTTTCGTGCTTAAACAGTAATCTATTTCTAATATTATTCATTCGTGGGTGGTCATTGCGGAGATTGGTGCCTTGAATCCGCACGGCATATATACCTCTGGGGCAGTCAACGGTGTTAGCAGTGAAGGTGTGTGTTGTGCGTTGTTATGTGTGGGACGATTGCTGTTGAGTATAGAGCTCTCCGCCCGGCCGGGGCTTTCGGGCCAACCTGAAAGCCCAGGCCCGGGCGGTAGCACGGATTGTTTCCGCGTCCCGGCCCGGACCAGGTAGCACAGATTGTTTCCGGGCCTGGGACGGGCTCGCACAATAATCCACTCCCTAAAACGTTGAGAAAAAAAAATGCTTACGCATTGATCATTTAAGATTTGAAAGAAAAGAAAAATTCAAAGTGCGAACTCGCTATGACGCCACTAAAACAAAAATCTTAGAAATAAAGAAAGCTGCATCGAACTAAGAAAGCCCACAAGAAGATACGGAGAATCCTGGGAATTGCATCAGCATAGTGGGACAGCTGCCAGCAGGCAAGGAAACGAGGACAATTGGGTCACAGAGGGGACAGTACGATTGTCTTTCCCTTTCCTTTTCAAACTCCTGAAGAAAAAAAAATCGCCCTCTGGCTATCAAAGATAAGCTATGACCTTTATATTTCTGTAAGCTTTCAAATGTTCACCACATGACTGCGATATGACAGAGTTTTTCATGTAAATTAGTAAACGAATTAAATGCACCAACACGTTCCCAGGGCAGCTTTGATTTTAAGAGATGAGGCACGTCTTGGCCTCAAACCGGGCCGGGTCTGGGCCGGGCCTGATCAGGTGAGCATCTCATCGGACCGGGTCCGGTTCGGGTAAGCAGTCAGTGGGCCCGGTACGGGCCTTAAAAAGTAGGCCCGTCCAGTGCTCTTGAGTGCATTGTGTGCTTAATGTGTATGTGCGATGTATCTTTCAGTGTAAATGAATGGGAAGCGCGAAAGTGCATACACTTCACGGGAGATCCTGAGATCTTCTGAAATATCATACACATTGAAAGTGCACTTTGATTATGTTGTAACACCACTAGAGTAATTTTTTTTGTAAATATTGAATTGGACGGTAACAGCGCCACCTGGAGTAGGATAATATTTGTATATCGAGTGCCTTTAGAGTTCGCTTGTGCGCGCCATCTGGCCGTAGACCAGACACATATCCAAAAGGGGGGAAGGATCCCATGGGCCTGAGCCGCCCCCCCCCCCCCCCCCCCGAAATTTTTCATTTTGCTGGGCCTCCTCTGCCCCCTCCACCTCATATAGCATTTTGACATGGGCGTCCCCCCCCCCTCCTCCTCCTCCTCCTCCTCCTCCTCCTCCTCCTCCTCCTCCTCCTCCCCCCCCCCCCCCCCCCCCCCCCCAGAATCAAAATCCTGGCTGCGCGTCTGCCACGGACGGTGTGACTGTTTTCTTAATTTCGTTCGACTAAGGTTCTACAGTGCATCAGCAGGTAATATACTTCTTTTGGCGAGCTGTAAAGGACCCTTCGGCGCACTGTATTGATTATGTGGGATTGCGCATCGGCCATAAAGCTCCGTATTCGTTTTGTAGGATTTGCGACGGAGAAATTGCGATATGAGAACGAGCACGGGTAATTAACTCGAAATTGGCTGAACATTGTGGCTCGATGCGTTTCGGCATATGTGTATTTTATTCATGAAGCAAAATTGAATTCGGGGCGCGGATTTCCTCGCCTGCACGGACAGCGGGATTGGTCAATAATTCTACGACGTGCAAAGCTCGTGTTCTGTAGTCAATGGGTGTCATCGTGCCCTGGAACCGTCGGCTCGATTTGGGTGGGCTTGGTCGCTGTTAGGCGGTCAACGTGGTGCTTTTCTGTCGAGTGTTGCCGACCAAGCAGTGGCAGACCGCCAGTGAGCGGGAGCCATTTGCCTGTCCGGTGACTATCGGAACTCTTTGCGTTGCGGTGGGACTGGTGCAACGTCGATGGCGTACCGGAAGGACCTCCAATGGACGCAGCTAAGCCTATGCCCGATCGGGAGCCGCCATTTTGAAATGCGTCTCCCTAATCAACGGAGGAGGAACTTTACTCTCTTGCTGAAGGGGGCAAGGTTACTCCATTTCTGAAGGAACATATGCGTCAGACTCGTTAATTGTGGCACGAGCAATAACACAGGTAAGGCGTGCAGTGCGCGAAGTGAGCGGGTCTTGGTTATCTCTGTATAATATCGTAGTGACAAGTTCGTTCACAGAAATCTTAACACACAAGAGTCACAACCTTCAGGCATCTCTGGGGCAAATCAAATCGAGATACGTTAAGAAACTGATTTATGCGGTATCTTTGAACAGCCAACGATCTTTGACTCACGCGGTATTTCCGAGTAAATATGATACACAAAATGAAATAGGAGCGAAGATGAAACTAAAGGTACGAGGTACGAGCGAATTGTATGTTATGCAATATCATACACATTGAATAGAGGTCGATTCTCCTAATCTGAAACCTTGTAGAATTACGTGGTGGACACCTCCGAGGAAGCGCTATAAACCGAACGCTGTCTTCTTCTTTTTTCTTTTTTTTAATAAGGCTTATCTATTGTGCGAAGTCTCGTAAAACTAATCAGAAAGCAGAACTAAGTAATAATTAAAAAAATATATATTTGAAATTCATTATATGACTATTACAGTTTAAGGCGAAGGCATCCCTGGTACGCATTGATTTATCTAAAATATACACGCCCTTGAATAAAATGTCGTTAATGCGAAGTCTAAACAAATTAATCAGCCTACCAAAAAGTCAATAATTGTACCCACCCCCATGCATTTTTTTATTCTACTCTTCCTTTTTATCTTCCATGTTTATTATGAGCAAAGTGCAGCAAGTTTCGTGCTCTTTGCATTTGACTCCCCCATCGCGAAAGATACATAATATCGCACTCGATTGCAAAGAAGAGTAACCCAAAATTGTATTAGGACAATATTTGAAATACAATTATATGAAATACTCAGTTTTCAACATTTTGTTACAACTGACATTATGTAATTAAATATGAAATGCAACATGCTCGAAGCATTTTCAATATATGTTTTAAATACTTGGAACACTGCCCATCTCTGTACTCTAGCTATAAATAGTTCGATTAGACACTCTGCGGCATTGCTATTGGAAGTAGCACCGTCAATAGATTCGCTTCACACGAAATGCTGAATCACAAATGCATTTTAAACTGCTCTCAGTGTTTAATTATTGGGTTAAAGAGATTGTCAGGTGACATCCGGAAGTGACTCAGTTTTTGCGCTGGTCAGGTGGAGAGGGCCTAAATACAGTCATATGTGAAATTTATTTCATTAAAAAAGACGCCCCAATATTCGTTAAACCAATTATGAAGGTCAACACGAAACTTCATGCCAAATCTCGCAAGTATGCATGGCTGGTCGTGTCGTGACGTCACATCAGGCATGGTAACGTCAGAGTCGCGGGCCTTCACTTATTCCCGGTTTTGATCAACATGGTTCAATGTGCGTACAAAGATCATCGTCGAAGAATTGGGCTTCCCTCAATACCGTAAATCCTGTCTTACTTAGAACGAAGTTATTTTACTCAGACGGCCGTCTCAGTAAAAGTGTAGGAATGCCAAAGCATTCCTACACGCAGCGCATTCGTACAAGCAGCGCTCCACGTCTTCCTTTTCCCCACGGCGCTCCGGCGGTGACATCAGGCTCCCCCACTGCGCAGGCGCGACGAACCCCGCCAACTCCACGGCCTCGGTACGATGCATCTGCGTTGCTGTGCTTTTCTTTGTGTTTTATTTCTGAGGCGCGACCGCTTTGACCTTGAGCGCCCCGCCCGCTTCCGTGACGAGGCATCTGCGTTGCTGTGCTTTGACCAATGGGAATTTAACTGCCGTTTCGCTGCTACAGACGGTTACAGACAATGCTGGCTTTGCTCCATGGGACAGTTCGTGCCTTCGCATTAAAATGCGGATATTGTGCAGATGATATTCCTAAAAGCAATGACAATATAATTGTTTTCTGAAAGACTTAACGTTACCGGACAATCACTTTAATATTTTGTCCGTGCATATTTTCGACCATGATGTGTTTCCGTGTCAGCTGGTGACCTAAATTGAAGTGAAGAGAGGCAAACCTTACCTGTTCTGCTCGTCTTTAAGTATTGTGGTTTGGTCGGTAGCCCCAAGAGGTCCGGTCCCCACCAGGAAATTTGCTTCATCTGGGAAACCACATAAAACACGTCAGCGTCAGTTTAATGACGCTGAAGTTGGAGCATTATTTGAGTTATTTTGTTTATACTGAACTACATCAACACATTACTATGGTTCGAAAGATCACAGTAATATTAAAACAAAACAAAAATCACGGCACACTCAGAAGCCGAAAAAAAGACTTACTCCATTATTGAAAAAGAAAAACGACAACAATACTAATATTAAGTGTGCGTAGATGTGCATCATGCAGAAATCGCGAATATGCATTTAATGAAACCACATTTCGATGTACTTGAGGCAGATGCCTTTGTTCTTCGAAAATTGCAGGAATCTATTTTTTTTTTCTTTGGTGTTTTGTTTTTTTCGATTATCGCACACTTGTTTCTGCCTTAAAGGGTGATCGAACTCGAAGCAATCATTTTTAATAGCATGAATTGAGTACGTATATCGCAAAATAAAGTTATCCCCGAAAAAGAAAAAAAGAAATAGCGCCTTATTTACGTGGCGAGACTCTTCCTTTTCGTGCTTGTAGTTCGGATTGAGGTGCCGCAATAGAAGTGCGCTTCGAGTTCGTTCCTCCCTCAAAATTAGTCTCATGACGTAGATATTGCGCTTCAACTAATAAAAAAAAATCTTTCTTATGTCACATACCACAGCCTCCTATATACTGACAAAAACCTTGCAGATCGCCATGAGACGCGACCTCCGAAATGGAAAAGGTGGAGCGGCAGATGACGGATGAGAGGAGAGTCACCTGACTGATGCTCCGCTGCGGCGAGACGCCGAAACACACTTCTCCCGAGTGAACAAGTGTGTTTCGGGTCTTCGCCGCTGCAAAAGCTGTGCGCTGACGTCCAGGTTCCCCGAGAAGGCTCTTTGATGCTCTGTGCTACCAGATACTCGCGCTCCAAATCTGCGACCGGGCACTCTATGGCACCGTTGTCGAACTGCCAGCCTTTGTGAGTATAGTGGAGGCTATGAACATACCTATCTTATCCAGCCGCATAACAAAAAAGAAAAAAAAAAAACTTTTTTTTTTTTTTTTTTTTTGGGGGGGGGGGGGGGGGTTCAGTGTGATGCACTACGGGATGGAAATCGCCCTTGTTTACCTTTAGCAGCGTAACTGAAGTGGACTATAAACATTGTCCGCGAATCAACCAATACGACTGGACCGGATTCTTTGCCGTCCTGTCCTCTCAGCCTTCCCACGGTGACTGGTTTTGGGGTCTCGAAGTTTGTCGGTATCGTGATGTGACCAAATGATGCCTGAAATTAAAAAAAATATATATATATATATTTATATTAATGCTGGTTCTTATAACAGCCATG